GGTCATATCTGGCCCAACCTGGCTTATAAGTGGGTTGCAAGTTATCCGATAGCGTAGGGGGCTTGGGCAAGGCGGAGCCTGCTTAGCCTGGATCGTTAACCCTCCTAAAGCTACCTGGGGCATCTGCAGCCCACGTCTAAGCTCGGGTGGGCCAGATCTAGGGGAACAAAAAGTGGCATAAATATAAAAACTCGGAGGTCCGCGCGGATTTCTCGGATCGGCGCTGGACCTCCCTCCCTGGCGCGCGGAGCGCGTTAGGGGCGGCGCCGGAGGCGCCGCCGGGGGGCCCCAGCGCCGATCCGAGAAATCCGCGCGGACCTCCGAGTTTTTATGTTTATGTCACTTTTCGTTCCCCTAGGATATACAAATCACCTTGACATCCACCCGTAACCCCCTGCTCCACTTAGAACCCGCCACGGTCATCCCAGAAGGTCCGACAACTCGCCTGCTCAAACTCCGCCGGCCCGTCTCCGTGCCCCGCCCGAGGCCCGCCCGCTCGGGCCGAGGCCCGCCCGACCCCCCTCGTCAGGCTCCGCCCGCCCAGCCCGCCCGCTGGAAAACCCGCCCGCCCGGTTTGCCTTGGGTCGGGCGTGTCCTCCCACGGGCGGATTTTGGACGAAAAATGCAAGAGAGTCAAACGTAATCAAAAGATGCTCAGAGCTACCAAAAAGAATCGCCCCCAGACTATTTTTCGACCATTTCTGAATTTGCGTCCTGTAGAGGGACAGGCCCGACTTCAGACTTGCCCGTCATGGTCCTCCTGTCCGCCCGCCCGTCATGGTCCGCCTCAATGCCCCGCCCGCCCGACCCGCTCGCTGAGGTACGCCCGCCTGGCCCGCCAAGGAGGGCTGGCCCACCCGACAAGGTCGCCAGGGCCAGCTTGCCACTCTGCTTCCCCTCCTGCCAAGTCGTCATTCTGATTCGCCCTCGAGGAGGAGGAGGAGGAGGAGGAGGAGGAGGAGGAGGAGGAGGAGGAGGAGGAGGAGGAGGAGGAGGGAGGGAGGAGGAGGAGGAGGAGGAGGAGGAGGAGGAGGAGGAGGAGGAGTCCTCCTCCCTCTCCCCGGTCCTGCCCGTCCGACGGGCCCGTCCGGTTCTGCTGCCTGTTGACCCTCCTCCTGCAAGTCTCTCTCGTGCTCCATCATTCTCTCTCACCCTCGTCCCTTCCCTCCTCCCTTCCCTCCCGTGTGTTCGGGGCTGCGCAAACTACAGATGATAGGTAAGGAAGATATGCCCCCCAGGAGGGTACGATCGAAGACGAAGAGGGCGGATATCAAAGGTTCAAGATATTTCAATGGTGCCCATTGTACTCTTTGAACTGATGTGCCCCTCCAGGGCTCGCATTCTGTTTTTGTGCAAGAGAATTTTCAGGCTCAGACTGTGCCCCTGGCCTCCGCTTAAAAACATAACGACTCTCGCCTCGCTTGCTACTTCATCACATTTTGTTGAAAAAGCGGGCTTGCCCTTGAGACATCCTTGACGGTCGCTCGAGAATCGTGCTCTCGCCTGGGAATTCCCAGTCTTCGAATGATTATTGTTGTTGCTGCTGCTGTTGTTCGTGTTTCTCCTCAACGCTTCTGCGTTGGTTCTCGTTTTGAATAAGACACTGCGGTCTCCACCTTGCCACCTTCCTCCTCTCTCTCTTCTTGCCCTCTACTTGGCTTGTACATGTTTGTCGGCCTGACACTATCTCGCTGTTTTACGTTACATCGCCATCCCTAGTGGGCTGCGATCTGCGAGCGTGTCGCTATTTTCGTGGGCTGCTGGGGAGTCCAGCGCGGTGACGCCCCGCCGCCGATCAGAGTAAAGGTCGCCATCCCTGGGGGCTGCGATCTGCCAAACGGTCGCCACTCTCGAGGACTGCTGGGCGGTCTGGCGGAGTGACGCCCCGCCGCGGATCAGAATGGACCTTGCCATCCCCGGGGGTCTGCGAACTGCGAACTTGTCGCAGGTTTCGAAGGCTGCTGGGCGGTCCAGCGGGGTGATGCCCCGCGGCGCATCAGAGGAGCAGACCTCGCCATCCCGGAGGGTTGCGAGCTGCGACACTGTCACCGCTTTCGCAGGCTGCTGGGGGCTCCAGCGGGGTGGCGCCCCGCCGCGGCTCGGAATAGACTTCGCCGTCTGTTTGGGGGGCTGCGAACTGCGAGACCGTCGCCACTCTCGAGGGCTGCGGGGGGGGTCCACCGGAATGACGCCCCTCCGCGGGTCCGAGTAGGCTCAACCATCCCTGGGGGCTTGCGATTTACGACGTTGTCGCCAATCCCGAAGGGTGCCGTGGAGTCCAACGGAGTGACGCCGAGCCACAATTCCAGAGTAGACCTCGCCATTCTTGAGGGACTGCGAACATCGGAACCGTCGCCACTTTCGAGGAATGCGCGGGGGGTCCAACGGAGTGACGCCACGCCGCAGACCGATATCAAACCTCGCCGTCCTTGGGGGGCTTCGGACTGCGAAACTGTTGCCACCGGCGAAGACTGCTGGGGTGTCCAGCGTGTCCGCAAACCCAGACTAGACCTCACCATCCCTGTGGCACTGCGAATTGCGAAAACGTTACCATTTCGAAACTTCCTGTGGGGTCCAGCGGAATGGCGCCCCGCCTCATACCCAGATCAAGCCTCGTCTTCCCGGGGGGGCTGCGAACTGCGAAGCTGTCGCCGCTTTCGAGGGCTGATGAGAATCCAGCGGAATGACTGTACGCCGCAGAACCATATTCGATTTCGCCAGCCCTGGGGTACTGCAAGCTGCGAACATGTGTCGATGTTAAAAGGCTGTTGGGGAGACCGGCAAAGTGACACCCCGCCGCAGACTCAGGCTAGACCTCGCTACCCTTTGGCGGCTGCGAACTGCGAAGCTGTCTTCACTTTGACGACTGCTGGGGGGCCACCAGAATGACGCCAAACCTCACCATTCTGGGGGGGCTGCGAAGTGCGAAACCGTCACAAGCTTCGAGGGCTGCTGGGAGTGCTGGGGGCCCAGCGGAATGACGTCATACGGTGATCCACACAAGACCTCCCTATCCCTGGGGGGGGCTGCGAACTGCGAAGCTGTCGCTACTTCCGAATGCTGCTGCGGTATCCAGCGTAGTGTCGTCCCACGCGGATTTAGGTCAGCACTTCAAGCTGCAGGAAGGAAGCGGAGACCCTGGCGGGCGAGATCGTCCTCGCTCGCGACATGGCGTGGGCCACACTACCTGTCCAACGTGCCACTGGAAAATGATCGCCATCCTCTTTCCTCATTCTGCCTCTTTCGTTGCCGCCTTTTTCTTCCTTCCACCGTCTCTCTGCTGCTGTCGATTTAACTGCTCGTTCTCTCTTCCGTCCTTTACCTGCACCCCGTTCCCACCCCCATTTCCTCTTTGAGTCTGGGGCTTCGGGCCTCAACATTATGTTGCTGTCCTGTGAGTCGTGCAACGCGCGCGCTTCCCATATAGCTTGCACCACCAACGACAACTCCTGTGTTGTCATCAGCCATACTATTATGGACCAGCTCCTCGTGTCACTTAATGCAGATGGGTTGGGTACGTCGCAGGGTAATTTCCAAAATTCGGAGATCGAACTTAGATTTCGCTTTTGGCCACCCGTGAGACTTGGAGGCCTGCACAGACCTCCGTGTCTAGCCGATTGCTGGGCCGATCGCGCCAGTCGATCGCGCAGCAGGCCGCATGTCTCCGAGCAGCGATCACAAGCCAATCACCATGATCGCAGCCGCGTGGTCAGTGGAAACTGAGGGTGTGGCTCCTCCGTCTCCTCAGCGTTGAGCTCGAAGAAATACTTCTGAGGCACACACGCCCAATCGATCCACACGTACTCGATGTGTGGCAACCCTTCCAACACTTCTTGTAATTTTTCAAGCTTGATGCAATCTGGGTCGAAATGCTCTGGTGTCAACCACCGGTGGGAAACCGCCACGGTGTCGGCGACGAACTTTCCGCCGATCACATCCTCGATTCTCATGTCTCGCTTGACCAGAACGTTCCTTTCGCGGAGGACCTGGTGAGGGGGAAGATGCCCCCGAACATGCTTGATTTCTCGGACTGGAAGAAACCAAAACTGCATGACGTCGGGCACATGTTGACTGTCGTCCTCCACGTCAGCGGCGGTCACCACGACAGACCGACGTCTGGGGCGGAGCACGCGACAAGCGATGAAATTGGCAATTATACCGATACAGATGGCGAGGGAAACCCCACCGATGATTACGACCACATGAAAAGGAACTGATGCTTCTGAGAACTCCTCAGGGGTATGAGCCATCGCATCTTCTCCAATGGTGTACTCGTCCGAAGTCGTGCCTTGCAACACAGTGAAGCTCTCCACTATCAACTCATAACCAACGCCGTCATCTGCAAGCTTGGACGAAAGAATCTCTTGAAACACGGAAGCGCTGTTGGTGTCAACAATGGACGCAATAATATCAGAATCGGTCGTGGGTGGGGCGCCTGGGTTACTGTGGGTGGAAATCTCGTAGTACACTTGCACACGACCTGATACTGCCGTCAACCCCCTGGCGCCGGACGCGTCCAAGTGCGCCGCTGGTGTGGGCGTCGCAGACGCAAGCCTCCTGCCCGCCGTCAACGTCACCGACACCTGCGCTGGCAGCACACCCACCAAGATGGCAATGCTCTCTGTCATCGCCGCCATAACGCTATTGCTACTCACAAAAACTGTCGGATCAGAAACGAATAAGCTAATGCTTCCACTGACCGTGCTGACGCTTGCGCGGGTGCCCGTTTCAGTGGAAGTGGTCATGATGCTGGTGATCACCGTCGCAGAGGTGGTGACAGTCTCTGTGGTGGCACTAGCACTTGAGGAAGTTCCCGAGGATCTCGTGGTGCTGGACGTGAGCGAGTCTGTTGTTGATGTAGTCACAGTGATGGTGGTGGTCAGGGTCACCGTAGTGGTAGTGGTCACCGTCACCATAGAAATGGTGGATGTGGTAACGACTGGTGTCGACGTAGGCGTCCCGTCAAATCCGAATACGTACGTAGACCCAGAGTTCTGGCCGTGGACATCGCCGTTGCAGGCCCCCACCACCGCTCGACTCCCATCGGGATTGACGCATACAGCACAACCGAAATTATCGCTTGAAGACCCGTCGTCTGCCACGATCTTGTGTATCTGCGTGCCGGTGGTCCCGTTGAACACGTACACGGACCCCGAACGAGAGCCGAGGTCGTCGTCGCCGTATACACCCACCACTACTGAATTCCCATTGGAGCTCACCGACACCGAGAATCCGAACGTATCGTAAGTATCCCCGTCGTCAGCCACGAATTTGTGCAACTGCGCGCCAGTGACCCTGTCGAACATGTAGACGGCTCCAGCGCGATTACCGCGGTGGTCCTCGTATGGGGCAGCAACAACCACTCGACTCCCGTCTGGGCTCACGGCCACCGAGTAGCCGAACTGGTCGTTGTTGGCCGCATCTTCCGCGACGAGCTTGCGCAACTGTACGCCAGTCACCGCATCGAATATGTACGCCGCTCCAGCATCGCGTTTAACGTCGTCATCCTTGTAAGCCCCCACTACCACCCAACTCCCATCGGAGCTCATGGACACCGAGAAACCGAAGATGTCATATGAAGAACCATCACCTGACACGAGCTTGTGCAACTGTACGCCGGTGGCTCCATTGAACACGTACGCAGACCCGCTGCTCGAGCCGACGTCGTCGTCGCTGTGAGCCCCTACCACCATCCGGCTCCCGTCGGAACTCATGGACACCGAATTACCAAACCTGTCGGCGACGGCACCATCTGTCGCCACGATCTTGAGCAACCGCGCGCCAGTGGCCCCGTCGAACACGTACGCGGAACCAGAGCTGGAGACCACACCGTCCCCGTTTGGGGCCCCGACCGCAATGCGACTCCCGTCGGAGCTTACCGACACCGAATGGCCGAACTGGTCGTTGGTGGCCCCGTCAGCAGCGACGAATTTGTTCAACCGCGCACCGGTGTGCCCGTCAAACACGTGCGCGGACCCGGGGAAACCGAATCCAGAGGCCCCCACAACAACCCGGCTCCCGTCGGAACTAATGGCGACCGACTTGCCGAACTCCTCGCCCGATTGCCCGTCTTCGGCCGCGAGCTTGTGCAGCTGTGCCTCCGCTCCGCTCTCCAATGCCCTCTCCAACAACCTCCTTCCTCCTTCTCCTTTTCCTTCCCATCCATCTCCCCTAAACCCTGCTGGTGGTGGTGCTGCTGCTGCTGCTGCTGCTCCTCCTCCTCCTCCTCCTCCTCCTACTCCTCCTCCTCCCCCTCCCCCCCCCCTCCCCCTCCTGAATTTTTTTTTCTTCTTATTAATATAACTTCTCCCTGTCGCACCCCGAGGCCGATCGAAAGGGCAGGCCGGGCGTTTCGCCTGAGACTTCCTCACCCTTTATGATCCTGAAGCTTAAACGTTGGTAACAGCTTCACGGATGGAGGAAGGGTCGTTTTCAAAATGTCGCTCTCGCCTTAGCGCCGCGCGCATTCTTTGTAAACATGTGCATGAGTTTCACGGATTGAGGGCGGTTCCTTTTCAAAATGTGGCTCTCGCCTTAGCGCCGCGCACATTGGTTTTAAACATTTGCATGAGTTTCACGGATTGAGGGCGGGTGGTTTTCATAATGTGGCTCTCGCCTTAGCGCCGCGCACATTCGTTTTAAACATTTGCATGAGTTTCACGGGTTGAGGGCGGGCGGTTTTCCACATGTCGCTCTCGCCTTAGCGCCGCGCAAACTTGTTTTCCTGTAAAAAATTAAAGTTGCAAGAGTTTCACGGATTGAGAGCGGTTCCTTTTCACAATGTGGCTCTCGTCTTAGTGGGCATATACTTTTGAACATTTGCGAAAGTTTCACGAATTCTCATGGCCAACGTACCCGAAATAATGTTTCAGAGAGATTGAGGATTATGAGGGTGCAACAGTTATGTTCATTCGCGATGTTGAAGTCCCAGGAATGGCGTTCTGGCGCGACTCAAGTTCGTCAAGGCGCAACAGCCAGGTTGATCCGTGGCGTTAGCGTCCCGAGAATAATCTTTTGGTATGCTCCAGGGTCTTCAAACGGTTGTCTTCCAACGAGGCAGTTCCCTCAGTGGAAATGAACCCTTGTATGGGGCCTATGAAGGAGCTTTGGGGGAGGGTTTATGCCAACATCGTTGATGGCTCTTGGGTTTACACTGGTCCTCCCCCTCCTCCTCATCATCTTTCTCCTCCTCCTACTCCTCCTCCTCCTCCGCCTCCTCCTCCTCCTTCTCCTCCCCCTCCTCTCCCCCATCCTTCGCGTGGCTCCTGGCCCCCTCGCGCTGATCAAGGCCTGAGTCGACACCTGGATTGGCGAATCGGGAAGAATGGAGCACGATGGAACGGGATAGGAGGGAGGTGTGAAATATCAGATGAGGCGCAAGCGCACCTAGCTTGCCTTCCTTCCCCTCTCCTTTCCCTCTTCCTCTCCGCCTCTGCCTCCACCCGACGCCGCCAAAAGAGCCTTTGAGATCCCCGAGATGGTCAGGGCAGGCTCCAGAGGAGCCCAAGGGGACCCAAGGTATTCGCGCCAAGGGAGATCCCGAGATGTCAACATCATCCACTGCGGAAATTCCTGAACACACGACTTCCAGTTTATCGTCTCTTTACAATAAGGGAGCTTTCGAGCAGCACCCAGGCCTGTCCAGTGGTGTTCTGGCCAGCATTTCGAATCGAATCCACCCATTGCGATCAGGGCGCCCCAGGAGGCCCATGAACTGGATGCCCCCATGCATCGCCGATACATCGACGATGCGTCGGCGATGCATCGGCGGCGTCAGCATGGAGAAAATCGGGCTCCATGCCGCGTCGCATCGGCGATGCGGCGCGATGCTCCGACCCCATCTGCTCCGACCCCATCTGGGTGGCCTAGACGAACGCCGCAATGCGCAAGCCTCGACACCCCTCCTCTCGCCGAGCATCGTTTATCCAATCCCTATCCCCAGTGGCCGCCCCCAGATGGGGATGTAGGTTGTTTCCTCCAGGCTTCGAGGGCTACGTCCCCACCTGGGGCAGTGGCATGGTGGGGGCCGGGATAGGGGATATGGATGGGCCAACCGCTGCAGGCTCGCGCCTCCGCCTCTGCGGCCGCTGCCGCCGCCGCGGACGCCAGCAGCAGTGCCGCGAGCGCCGCCGCCCCGCCCCGCCCGCGCGCCCGCAGCGGCGCGCCGGGCCGCGCCCCGCGGCGCCCCCGGCCGCGCGGCGGCCCGCTGCCCGCCCGCGCCGGCCCCGGCCGCCGCGCGCCGAGGGGCCGCCGCGCGCCGGGGCGCCCCTCCGGCGGCCCGCCCAAGGCGCCGTGCTCGGCGGCCGTGCTTTGCGGCCGCGCGCGGGCGGGCTCGCGGGGCGGGCGCGGCGGGCGGGCGCCGCCGGGGCGCCGCCGCCGCCCGCGGGCATGTGCCCGCGCGCGGCCCCGCCGGCGGCGCGAGGCGGGGGTCGCCCGCCCTCTCCGCCGGGGCCGCGGTGCGCAGCGGGGCGCTCGAGCCAGCAGCGGTCGCGCGGGGTCAAGGCAGGGTCGAGGGCCGGGAGGCGAAGGGAAGACTCGGGCAGGCTGAGCTCGGCCGTGCTTGGCCGTGCTTGGGGGGGGAGAAGGAGGAACGCCAGGGCGAGGGAAAGGGGGTGGAGGAGCAAGACGCAGAAGGGGGGCCCCTGCACACCCCTGGGAGCCCCCCTTGGGGAAAAGCCCTCCCCTCCCCTCTCCCCCCCAGGGCCGTTCATCGTGGGCCTGAGCGTCTTGGAGCGAGGCGCGGGCTCGCTTCGCATTTTTGTCTGGACATGTACTTGTTAGATGACGGTGGCGCTGGTGAAGATTGGCATGGCCGACGCAGGACTTTAGAATGACAATGCTGGCCCGCGGCTGCAGCCTTCACCGGGCCCCTGCCAGCTCGGGCGGCCCAAGCGCAGAAGGGCGTGCGCTGCCGCGCTGCTGCGCTGCCTCTGCTGCCCCCTCTTCTCCGCACTCCTGGAACCGACGTCGGGCTCTGCCTTCACCCTGCGAGCGAGGATACACGCGACGGATCACAGTGGACCCCCCCCCCCAAAGGCGGAAGATGACGAGGAACGAAGAGAAGAACGAGGGCAACGATGACGGGTGCCGGGCCTTGGGCGCACATCAGCAGGGGCTTGGGGACGCCGTTCGTGGGCGGGCTCGAGCGCGGCACGGCTCGATCCCCCAAACGGTGCTTGCCTCAGCTGCTTCCTTGCCGCGCTCTCCAACGGCCGCTCGCCTCCCCATGGCTTCCCGCAACCTCCCCGCCCTGGCCCTGTGCGTTGCCCTGCTGGTGGCCCGATGGCTTCCCCATGGCGCCCGCCCTCCCCCCCACCTCGCCCCGCGTGCTGCACCCGTCCCGTGGCCGCGCGGCTTCCCACGGACTCCGCCCGTGGGTTGCGCCGCCACAGGCCGCAGCCCGCAGACTGCGCCGCACACCGGTAGGCTGGAAGCACGCGCGCTGCGGGAGTCACGTGCGGAGGCCGCGGAGAGGCTGCGCGCTGGAGGGGCCTGCGGGAGCCCAGTGTGCCTGGCCCAGCCACAGGAGGGCCGAGCACTGGAGGGGATCCAGCTCTCTCCCAGGTCGACCGCGTCATGGCGGATTTCGGAAGCCCTGAATCCAAAAAAGTTTTCATCGCTTGGGGGCGCAACGTTCACTCCCGCCACCTTCCGCCGAGCTTCCGCCGGCTTCCGTCCGCGGAGGCGGCCTCGTTTTACTGCCGCCGACCTTCCGCCGAGGAAGAGAGGACAACTCCTTCGGTCCTCGAAGGCAGGTCCCTTGTTGGAACCCTGCAGCCCGTAGTTTGGACCCTGCAGATTGCATAGCGCCCCCGTTTGGGGCCCTCACGCTGGCAGCTCACAGCTGAGGAACGTGGCTCGCCGTGGGCATAAACGCCCTGCTCCGGCCCGTGCCTTCCTGGGCGCCCCGTGTCCTACGAGCACTTTGGGGGCATGACGCTGACCGGATCGTTCCACGATGCTTGCCTTAGGTTGGGCATGTCCTCCTACAGGCGGATCT